TGAAATCCTGAATCCCAAACCTATCTGAGGTCTTGGAGGTTCCTTTCCCTCAGGAAGGAACTCTCCTTCTAGTTAAGAAAGCACATGTACTTTCATCTACATGCACAACACAGGCATAACCTGTAGATGTATTATTTTCCCCAAAATAGACAATGTTAAGAAAATTAGTGGTCTGAATATTACCTGTCTTTAGAAACAGATCACTGATACTGAAAAAGTTATCATAGTATGTTAAGGGGATGGAATGGACCTTACAGATCATCTAGTTCCAATCCCTACTGCCACGGGCAGGGACATCTCCCCACTAGACCAGGATGCTCAAGGCTTTATCCAACCTGGCTTTGAACACTGGCAGCATTGGGGGATCCACAACCTCCCTGGGGAACCTGTGCCAGTGTCTCACCACCCTCACATAAAAAAACTTCTTCCTAATATCGAATCTAAATTTTCCATCTTTCAATTTATACCCATTACACCTTGTCCTATCACTAGAGTTCCTAACAAAGAGTCCCTCTCCAGCTTCCTTGTAGATCCCCTTCAGATACTGGAAGGTTGCTTTGAAGTCCCCTTCTCTAGGCTGCACAGCCCCAACTTTCTTAGGCTGTCTTTGTAGGGGAGGTGTTCCAGTCCTCTTATCAACTCTGTGGCCTCCTCTGGACTTGCTCCAACAGTTCCATGGCCTTCTTATGTTGGGGACACCAGAAGCGTACACAGTACTCTAGGTAGGGCCTCTCAAGACCAAAGTAGAGGGGGAGAATCACTTCTCTCAACCTTCTGGCCACATTGCTTTTGATGCAGCCCAGGATAAAGTTGGCAGCTATCTGGGCTGCAAGTGCACATTGCCAGCTCATGTTGAGTTTCTTGTCAACAATCACCCACAAGTACTTCTCCGCAGGGCTGCTCTCTGCCTAGCCTGTAGGTGTGTCTAGGACTGCTATTACCCAGGTGTAGGACCTTGTACTTCACTTTGTTGAACTTCATGAGGTTGTCATCAGTCCACCTCTCACACATGTCAAGGTCTCTCTGGATGGCCCATCCCTTCCCTCCAGCATGTTGACTGCCCCACACAGCATGGTGTTGTCAGCTAACTTGCTGTGGGTGCACTTGATCCCACTGTTTATGTCACTGACAAAGATGTTGAATCTGTAAGAGCTGTACAGTACTTTGCCTTGCTTGTTAATATCTTGTACATTTTTTCCTTTAAAATTTACTATTTTGTTTGCATTATATGTCCGTGGGGATCAGAGCCTCTTTATGCTGGCCTTCGTGCAATTGTATAATGAAAGACAGATAGATGCTCACCGTCTAAAAAATTAGTATTCTAAATGCTGAAATAGCAGACAAGGTAAAGCCAGTATTTTGTTGCATATTTGTTCCAGCTGTAAACTGGTATTTTCTTCTAAACACTTTGCAGACCTTTAAATAAGGCCATTAGATGTTTTGAAGTAGTCTTCCTATGCCTCATTTCTGCAGTGCTGGCTCCTGGACAAGAGAAACTATAGACTAAGTCCACAACGTCTTTTCTCTTTTTAGAAAATCAGCCTGCTTTTCATATGTGCATGGTATCTTAGTGGAAGGCGATCCTCTACAGCTGCCAGCTCCATTGGCCTGCATAAAGTTATGTGTTCCTCCACCTAGAAGTCTGATTCTGGAAGCTATATAACAGCAGGCAGCTTGTCTACCTGCACAACAAACTGACAGACACTTTGAGACAGACAGACATCATGGGCCAAATCAGGGCAGCACTGAACCCAGGGTAGTGCATCTATGCATGTGTTATGTAGTTCTGTGCAGAATTTTGCTAACCACATTTGTATGGCGTGTGTTTGGCTTGGAGCATGTGGCAGCACTAGTATTTGGTCACAAAAGTACCACAGTCCTGCTTCAGGTTACTCCATCTTTGGTGCT